TCAACTTTCTTTATCCCTTAAATGCCTACCATGTGTGAAGTACTCTCAATTTATCTCTAATATTCCTTTTTGATAAATCCAGTGATTAATTCTTGGTCCTCCTTTTCTTGGATGTATTAGCAGAATTTTTTCTGATCACTTTCCCCTCCTTGAAACACATTCTTCATTCATTTTGCAAGATGCCCACACACTTGAGTTTTTCCTGACTTCAATGGTTTCTCTGTGATTCTTTTTACTTTATCCTCCTCTTCCTCAGTCTTCATGTTGAAGTACCCAGGCTCAGTCCTTGGTCCTCTCCTCTACCTACATCTTTGCTTTGGTAATTTCATTTGATTTCAGAGCTTTCAATACTACTTCTGCGCTGGTAAATCCCAGATGTCTCTCTCGGATCAGTCCCCCTCCCAAACTGCATACTCATACATCTAAATGCCTATGAGACATGTCTGATCATCTCATGGGCTCCTAGATGCATCACCTGCGACACAACTCCCAATCTTGTTTTCAAACTTAATAGAAACTTTCTCCATCCTTTTAGCTACATAAGCAAAAACTCTGGAGTCATTCTTGAATTCTTTCCCTCATATACTTCATCTCTTTCATCAGGAAATCCCATCGGTTGTACTTTGAAAATACAGTCAGACTCTGACCATTCTTCTCTCTTCTACCTCAGCCATCCTGGTCAGAGTCAGCAGTGTCTTGCCTGGATTACTGCAATAGCCTCTGAACCGGTCTTTGTGTTTCCATCCTTGCCCTGGTACAGCCTATTCTTAACACAGCAGCCAAAATGATCCCTTTAAAATGTAAGCCAGACCACATCACTTGTCTGCCAGAAACCCTCCAATGGCTTCTTGGCTTCCTGAGACCAAAAGTCAAAGTCCTTGCTATGGCCTGCAGTGCCCTGTAGGATCTGTCCTTCCCTGATACTTCTGCAGCCCCCACCACTCTCTACCTCAATCACTCATTCCCTTTTAGTCACTGGCTTTCTTTCTTTTCCCCAACAAGCTGAGAAAAGATCTTAGAATCTTTGCTTAAACCTTTTCTCTGGCTGGACTATTCTACTTGGCTAACCCCCTTACCTCCTTCAAGTCTTTGTTCACACGTTACCTTCTTGACGACGTCTATTCTTACCATCCTACTTAATACTAAAACCACTTCACCACTTATGCCTGATCTCCTGACCCTACTCTTTTTTTTTTTTAATTTCTGTGTCACTCACCAATCTCTAACACACTATATAACTTCCTTATATATTATAATTTATATATGCTAGACTGCAAACTCCACAAGGGAAAGTATCTTTGTCTTGTCCACTGATGCACCCTTGAGCGCCTAAAACAGGTCAGGCATATAGCAGGTGCTCAATAAACATATTCTAAGTGAATGAATGAACAAATAAATGAATCAATAATGTATATACCAGTCAGTACTGAATCCTAATTCTCATAATTACACCTAGGAACAATTCTAGGACCCACTCCTTCTGCTCCATGCCTGTTCCTATCCTCATGATATTTTTACTACCACACAACTGAGGTTTGGAAACTCAGCACTTTTCACTCATCTGGTTTGCCCCCAGCAGACCAGTCCCCCTACAGCATTGCTCATATCACTGCCATGTCCATGGTGGGATGCTTGGACTCCTTAGAGCTCTACCAGCTTACTTGGATTACCTGGCTCTCCAATTCCCCACCCCAGTCTACTTTTATTGCCTTTTCTCACTACTCTTTTCCTTCCGTGAACCCCTCCTTCTTCCTCACTGTCTTCCAACCCTGACCGTGTACTACAACCTCCACGCCTTTGTTCTCAATGCATGTCCCGACCCCTGCCATCTCCATCCCAGCTTACTTGGATTACCTGTTACCTGCAAAGGCTTTCCTGACCCTCTGGTCCACAAGGATCTTTCCATTTTATGCTTTCACAGCCCTTGCAGTACAGACCCCCTGTTCCGCTGATACAACCCTATATTGCCCGATGGCAGCTACTGGGGTTATTTTTTTAACTGCACTTTTATGTAATGCCTGGGTTATTATGTAAAACTTTTGTAGATTAGTCTGGCTAGAGGGAGAGATTTCACTTTTAATTGTGAGACTGAGAGATACATCTTCTCTCTCCACTTATATTATTGGTTCTCTGAAAGGGAATCACTTTCCTCAAGCTTCCTTATATTTCCCATGGCCTCGAACATAGTGCTGGGCACCCAGGACAGGGGTAGTGTTTGCAATGAATGGAGGATGCAGGATCCATATAGGGAGGTGGTCATGGATTCTAAGGCACTTTGCTGGAGCGTAAGGACCAAAGGATAAAATGTTCATGCGATAAGCCAAGATTAAAAACCAAAAACTATGTAAGGAAATTGTCTTCTAGTTAGTTTCTTTTCATTAACTGTCATAAATGTGGCTGGTAATTTGAAAATGTGAAGCACCAATTGATCTCTGTTCTCTTACTGTGATTTATAATCCTGTTGTAGTGTGTGAATATCTTTCCCGTTTTGAAAGAAGGAAGACATGTAGCTCGTCAGTGCAGCAGGAGAGGTCCAGCAGCCTTCAGCCCAACCCATTTTCTATTGTAGTGAAACGGCCAAAGGTCATGGCATCATCGAGGACCCCTACTCTACTCTGCAAGGCCCAGGCTCAGGGAAAGGTGCTTTCATCAGGTAACGATCAGAGATGCACATGCGGTTACAGATTCTGTGGGTCAGTGTTAGCGCTTTCCTCCTCCGTGTCCTTCCTACTCTCTCTCATTTATTCGCTTAGCAGACGCCATTGCCAGCTCTGGCCGGGGCTGGCCATCCACATACAGAATCTCAAGTGCCTTCACCACCGCTCTCCACGGTGGATATCAGGAATGTTCTCATTTTACAAGTGAAGACCCTGTTCAGAGAGGTAAAGTAACTTGGCCCAGTTATAGATCTGAGATTTGCACTTGGTGGGGCTTTGACATCAAAGTCCTTGTTTTTTCCACTTCGTCAAACCGCCTCCAAGGTGCCCAGGATATATGTGATAGAGGCACAAATGAATCAATGACCCCAAAATTTGTAGCTTTGACAAACACCATTTAACCACCATAGACAATGCAGAAGACTAAAGCAGTAGCACTGTTTTGTTAAAGAGATACTGAGATACAAGTGTTGACACGGCCCAAGGGTTTGCATGAAAGTTTCTGGAAGATAGATCTCAGCTTTCTTTGCCAAGGTTCTGAAACAGGGTTCCAGCCCCTTCCTTCTTCCTGAGATATGTAATCTAGTTATCTTGTCAAACCTTGAAGTCTCTTTCTACTCAAGTACTATACAGGGACCCAAAGATCTGGGAGGCCATGACAGTCATCTCTGCATTTCCTTTCCTCTGTGGGGCCGGGCGGCGATGGTGAAAAATGAAAGTACCCACGGACGACAATCTGCTAACCACCCCGAATGTACTAACCTTGTCAAGACTTAGAGCCCTGAGTGTGCAAATCAGGAGAGACAGAAATAGGATGATCTAAGATTAATGACATAAAATTCAGTTTTGAGAGGGCAGGCAGCTTGGAGCTCGCCTCTCTCCCAGCTATCAAAGATTTCTGTAACAATTACTAGATTCTGTCCCTGACCCAGGAAACTTGGGCCAAAAAGCTCTGTCATTCAGCCTTCATGTGTCTGCCTTAATAGTCCCAGCCACTGCTCTCTGTCACACAACGGCTAGTGAAAACGTTCCCTGGATTACTAGTCTGCGAAAGAGACAGCCCCCAGACTCTCTTGCATTATCAAGTAATGAGCAATAGTCCCTTAATTCCCCAAATGTATGAGTTATCGAAATCTCGGTGTAAAAATAAAAAAAGGAGAATTAAAAATTTCATGTTGTAGCTTTATGAACGCAGTATCTTAAGTATTTCCTTGGTTATTTCAATTAATGTAGTTCTAATTCGACACTCCTATGTATTTGAGAAAGCCCTTTCAAAGGGCCCATTAGCTGAGAGATCCAAGTGGAGGTTGAGGCCAAGAAGCCGTCACTGTTAATTCTTACTACTCTTAGATCTTTTAATTGGGGGTCCTGCATGTTGACAGGCACGGAAGATGTGACAAAAGCTTTCCCCCAAGAAAGTTATCTCAGTGCTGACACTGTATTCACAGACAGAAGCAACTAGCATCAAGGATTTCCGTTTAATGACGGGTGCCCCTGTCCCAGGTTGCCACTGTTTGTCACTTTGCTTAGCCCAAGTGGGGAACCGCAGAGAGGACTCCTGGCCCTAGTCCCGGCTGTGCACAGGGTACTTTGCTTTAGTGGTCAAAGGAGCAGAAAGCTGTCCTCTGCTCTCCCCTTCCACAGAGCTGTCCCCCACCCACCTCTCCTAAGTTAGACTGAGTGAGAAAAGGCCACAGCAGTCACACCAGGCCACAGCACAGAGCAGCATTCTCAGTTAGCAGACCTGTTTCCCCAGTCAGGGGAAAAAGTGCCCCCAACAAGGGGGACAAAAACCAGAAAATGCAAGGGAGGGAACATTCCAGGGGGAAATATATTTAAAAAAAAAAAAAAAAAAAAAAAAGGAAGAAAGAAAAAAAAATGAAAAAAAAAAAAAAAAAGGAAGAAAATGCACAAATCCCACGAGGGTGTCTGGTTAACCAGGGGTTAGAATCAGGTTTAGAGAATCACACGTAACTCAGTGTCTTGGCAAATCCAAAAATCCCAGGGCGAAAGGCATGTGGGTAAAAGGCATTTCTACTTGTGGAAACAGGAAGTTTCCTTCTTTTACCATTTATTCTCTTATTTATTTTTTAGTCTGTTTGTAACCCATATTTGGACCATCGATCACTTTTACCCACCCCCTCCCACTCCCAGCATTTTTATCTTTCCAGAATGAAAGGAGCAACGAAGACAGGATCCAAAGATCCCTTTCCCACAGCCAATTCCAGTGAGCCCCTCTCTCCCAAGGTTACAGGGGGCTCGGAGCAGACATTCTCAGCGAGACGCGCCACACACAGCAAGTCACCACACCAGACTGCTCTAGAGGGCTTCCAGGGAACTTACTTGTACTTGTGCTGGTTCCAATGGTATTGATTGTGGTGGGGACAGATGAGGAGGAGTAGAGGGGCACGTGGCCGTTCTCACACCCCAGGCTTTTGTCCTGCCAGTTGGAGGCACTGATGCAAATCCCAGAATCCCGAGAGTTCTGCCACCCGTTCAGTTGGTCATCGGAGTTCTGTCTTTGGTGATAGTAGTGGGTCTGCCCATAATCCACAGAGTCCGAGCGGCTTCGGTTCTGGCCGCCAAAGCTGGTCGATGTGCGGTCCTCCAAGTGATTCAGCCACATGGCTAATGCGCTGCGGTCTTCCAGCGAAGTGGCCGGATGTATCAAAGCATAGGACAGCAGTTGCCTGCTCTCCTCAATGTGCTGGTTGTGTTCGATAGAGTGCGCCAGGATTTTGGGTAGCAGTTTCATATACTCTACTTTTGCATCAAGGTTTCCTGGCTTCAGCAAAGGCAGATGAGTTAACAGGAGGGAAATCACTTTATCCTTGGATTCCTGTTGCCATTGGTTAATGATTCCTGGAAGGGAAAATATACAGGGCAAATAAGCAAATCCACCCACCACGGCATGAAACACCACACTGTCAAGAGAATTCCTATGGGTTAGAGTCTCCTTCTATGTATCCTGGCTAAGTTTTTTAAAAAATAGCCCATGCATTGGATTGGATAACTAACTCCAGGTTGTCAGGAGGCAGTGACATAAAAGAAACACAGAACAAATGTTCTTAGACGTTGGGGTGCCCAATCTAATTCCCACTCACGTCTCCAAAGAGCCTACAGCTACTTCGGTACAATCAAATAGAATTTACAGAGCGGTGTTCTTAGAAAAGCCTAGCTACGCCTTCAGATAGGGGATAAGGATTAAGAAAATCTCCACAGAGAAAGAAGTGTTGTTTTGTCAGAGGCTCATTGGATCCTTGCGGGGGGTCAGGCTGCTTTCCCTTCTGAAGACATCTGTGGAAAAGTGGTTTACACCCTAGCCAAGGCATTTGTGTGAAGGTGGTAAAACCTCCTAGATAGAGAAATCTGTCAGGAAAAGAAAGGACTCCCCTCATCTCAGTGAAGTAAGACTACACCTTTCTCACGAGAAGCTGCTTCAGAAAACCACTGTGACCTCAAAGCTAGATCTCAAAGCTAGACTTAGCTCAGGTGGTACCTCTGATTACACGTGAGAAGCAAAGCTATTTTTCTTTACATATAGACGACCTGTTTAGTTATCTTTATTATGGTAAAGTATGTATAATATAATATTTACAATTTTCACCATTTTTTTGTGTACTGTTGTGTGGCAATAAGGACATTCACAATGTTGTGCAGCCATCCCCGCCATCCATTTCCGAATCTTCCTCATCTTTTCAAACTGAAACTCAGTAACCCTTGAATAACAAGTCCCTATTTCTCCACCCCCACCCCCGCCCCAGCTCCTGGCAACCACTGTTGCATTTTCTGTCTCTATCTATTTGACTACTCTAGTTACCTCATATCAGTGGGAACCTACAGTGTTTGGCCTTTTGTGACTGGTGACTTCATTTAGCGTCATGTCTCCAAGGCTCCTTCATGAGGAGATCCATTTGCGACACACTCTCAAGGATCCCTTCCTATCCCCTTCTACCCAAAACACAACTTGTTGCCTTTAGGTAAACATGGATAAACAATGTACTTTGACTTTGACTAGCCTTTGAGAAGTAGCTTGTTCTGGAAACTGGTAGTTATCTTCAGAGCCTGGAGCCACTAGAAAGCAAGCTCCCTTCCTGAAAAGTCACTCCTGACACCTGAAGACATTGTCTCTGGCCTACTGATTACCCTACATAGGCTAGGGCAGGGCAGTCCTCCTGGCTTTCATGCAGTATCTGCAGAGTCAAAAAGGGGTCTCTGGAATTTAGCAGAAGGGCTTCACGATTCTAGAGAGGCACAGACATATCAGGACACACTCAAGAGTCATTGTTGACCAGAAGCTACAAATGCATCAGCGAAGTACCGTAAGCCCGTCAAGACCAAGGGTATATCCAAAGAAAATTGTCAGGCAAGGAAGGCATGATATACAATGCAAAAATGTGGGCTCTGGAATCAGGCAACCCTGGGCATGGATCCCAGGTCTGCCACTTAATTTGCCGTGGGACCTCGGTATATTACTTTGCCTGTAGGAGCCTCAACTGTCCCATCATTTAAGACTGTTACCAGCAGCATCTGTCCCTCCTTGCATGGTAATGTATCAAAATGACAGGTCAAGTACTCATTGGTGGAAGTAATGCCTTCTACTCATCTCTACATTGATCGGGTCCCACATTAGACGCATGTGGGATGGTTTCAGATACCGAGGTTTAAAAATAATTATAGAGTCTAAAGACGACCCAGGGAAGGTCATTAAAAAATATCAGAGTTGGAAGAGGTAGGAAGTCAAAGGGTGGAAAAAAAGAAAGAAAGAAAGAAAGTCAAAGGGTAAAAGAAAATAAGGCTTATAACTGAACAACAGGAAGAGATGCTCCATGTGGGGATTTCATAAGAAGACGAAGACTCAACAATTTGAAGTCCAAGTCTTCAAATGGAAGCAGCAGAGATTAAGACTGGATGTGTAGAAGAAATGAAGTGTCAGAGTGACAAAAGACCCAGAGAAGTCGCCAAGGAAGGCTTTATTATATCTGTCCTGGGGGCCTGAAGAATAGAGATAGATGGTCTAGGGAAGCACTGTTGGGTAGAATGTAATGTGAGCCACACACAGTATTTGAAATTTTCTAGCATTAAAAGAAAAGTGAAAAGAGGGAGATGAAATTAATTTTAATGATATATTTTCTTTAATCCAATATATCAAAACATTATTATCTCAATTTGCAATCAATATAAATCATCGATGAAATATTATACATTCTTTTCTTTGCATCAAGTCGTCGCCATCCAGGGTGTATATTACCACTGACCTCACATCTCTAACTGGGACTAGCCACAGCTGAAGGGCTCAGAAGCCATGTGTGGCTGCCCAGCCACAGGGCTGGAGACATTCAGATGGGGAAAGAGGATGGCAGGAGGGCACCCTCAGCAGGTCCCTCCCGGCTCCCTAACTCTATATTTAGCTAACTGCCACCTGACAAAAGACAACCCTGGTGCATTCCATTAGTATGGCCTCCCTTTTAAAGCAGCTTTGGGAGACAGAGGAAGCACCCGTTCCAGCTTCCCATCGACACATTTTCAGGAAACACCCAGCATGTTTTTAATTATTAATATACTTCAGACAAAGATGAAATCTATTGATTAAGCCCACAGAACTAAAGAGTTATTGGCAAGAAGCAAAAGGCCCCGAGAGGAAGATACAGCTGTGTCTGATGCCAGCCCAATGAGCAGATGTGGCTGGCATACACCTGGAAAATGTACGTGTATAAAGAAAATTCAGGAACCAGTTTTAATACAAATTCAGGGGGTTGAGGAACACCCTGGCTTTCTGCAAGGTTACTTTCCTGTTTGGGGATTCTACCCTTCTGTAAAAGGTCAGCCTGGGGGAAAAAAAAAAAAGAGGAACAAAAACAGAACATAAATAGGACTCGGAGTGCAAACTAACCACGTTATCTCCATGTAAGCACTCTCTGCCAGGGATTAGCAGCAAAGGGGAGAGGAAAACAAGGGCCCTGGCCCTGGTCCCTTCCACGCCTGAAATGGGACAGGGCTTGGGTGGTGTGGAACTGGGGTGTGGCCAGGAAGACAACCATGACTTTTGTTTACTACCACTGGGAACCTGGACGTGAAGCTGCCCCCTGAGGGCGGTCTTCTGAGTTGTACTACTGGATCGAACTTTTCCTGCAGCAGCTACAGCTGCAACGCTCACAGCTAATGGTGTTGAATGGGGTTTATGTGTACTCTTGTAAGCTCCTTGCATGTCATTACTCATTTAATCCTCCCAAGGAACTGATGAGGTAGGTCCTGTTACAGCCTTATTTTACTCATGAGGACAGAGAGGCACAGAGAGGTCAAGCCATTTGCCTCCAGTCCCCCTGGCAGGGGAGGTGGCAGAATGGGGGTATGCAAATTAGCATAAAGATACATAATGATTATCATGCTAAAAGAGTTTGGCCATAAATTAGATACATTAATGTTTAGAATATAGGTAAAATGTGATTCTATAATACATAAGATACATAATACATTAACTATATATAAGAAGTGAAGATGTGTATGATATTTACAAATATAATAATATGAATATCTGAATAGAGTGCATGGATATGCAGGAAGAAGAGTAGTTACAGAGTGACACTTACTGTGGTTTTTTAAAATATGTCCACCACTTCCTTGATATTCCTCTAAAAGATGAAGCCTCATTAATTCCTTTCCCATTCAGGGCAGAGCTAGACTTAGGGAGTCACTTCTAACAAACTGAAGGTGGCGGAAGTGATGGTGTGTGAGGTCATGGATTAGGTTATAAAAGGCACTGAAGGGGCATGTGGATGGCTCAGTCGCTTAGGCGTCCGACTCCTGATTTCGGCTCAGGTCATGATCTCAGGGTCGTGGGGTTGAGCTCCGGGTTGGGCTCTGTGCCAAGCGTGGGGTCTGCTTGCCCCTCTCCCTCTGCTCCTCCTGCCGCTCACACTTGCTCTCTCTCTCTCAAATAAATAAATTAAAATTAAAATTAAAATTAAATTAAAAAAATAAAAGAGGCGCTGAAGCTTTTACCTTGCTCTCTCTTGGGTTACTCACTCTGGAGAAGCCAGCCACCATGCTGTGACAATATTCAAACCACCCAGTAGGGAGAAGGTCTTGATAGTGAAGGAGGGACTGAGTCTTCCTGCCAACAGGCAACGCTGACTTGCTAGCCCTGTGAGGGAACCAGAACTCCCAGACCATTAAGCCTTCAGATGACCACACTCCAGACAACATTTGGGAGACCCTGAGCCAGAAACACTCATATTCCTGATCCACAGAAACTGCATGTGGTAACGTGTTAACTGTTGTTTTAGCCGCTAAGTTCTGGGTTATTTGTTATGTGACCCAAAAAACCCAATATATCTCTTCAAGAGTTTTCCTCTAGAAAAATGGAAGTGTTAGCCACTTGGCTTTGAGCAGTTCACTCCTTCAGATTCTGAGATCTACTCATGAAGCCAACTGGTGCCACTGAACATTCACCTCAGCCTCCTTCATCCTGATTATCCATTTGTCAACAACTTTTGGACAGTGACTAATCTCTCAGTGTCTTTAGGGAAAGAATGAACTGATCACACAGACTTAAGGTATTTCTAGATTCTGTGATGATGATTTTTCAGGACGATTTAATGGTTTCCGATTGTGATTTGGTTTCCTGTGGAGCTGCCTTCCTGTTCTCAGTATATAGACTTTGAGTACATCTGGTCCCCTGGTGATGGCTCCTCACAGCAAATTAATAAGCCAGCATTGTGGGGTTTACTTCCCTGCTTCATCATTAGTACTGAGTCAGTCCCTCAGGGTGAACATCTCTAGGACACTGATGAGAGTAAGCATCTCCACCTCGAAATGGGAGCCAGGTCCTCCAGGTGGGAACTTGGGACATAAATGCTAGG